CAAGTTACCGAGGTTGAAAAACACTGACCTAACCCATATTTGGTGCACGAGGAATTCTGGGAATAATCTTTGAAACTGAACGTACAAGACGGTTGGTTAGGATGTATTGAGAGAGGTGTGTCATCTTCAAGTGGCTCTACTGTGTAAGACGGGGGTCTTCAAACTTGGCCCTTTGATGACTTGTGGACTTCAACTCCCAGAATTCCCCAGCCAGGCACGCTGGCTGAGGAATTCTGGGAGTTAAAGTCCACAAGTCATCAAAGGGCCGAGTTTGAAGACCCCTGGTGTAAGACAACCCTGACCAAAATAAGGAAGCCCTTAGATGTCATCAGCATAGGTCCATCTAATGAGAAGGAGATCCCCAAAGAGCAGGATGGAGAGAGTGGGGGGTCACCCATTGGCCAAACTTCTCAATCTGAGATTCTACTGAAGGACTTCTGTTGGGACCTTGGTTGGGAACTTTAGCAAGTCTCCTTGCCCCTGTGTTGGTCTAGCTTGCTCAACGTTGCTTATGAAATTCAAGGAAGGACAATCGGGATGAAACCAACCACAGAGAAGGCTAAAAACCATGAAGATATCTCCCCAGGAGATGTTCCCAGAAGTGGGAATGCTAGGAAGATGTCCTTTTGGGTCTCTTCTATTGTCTGTTGTCACAGGGGGCCAGCTGAAGAGCCCCACCGATGATCTAACGGAGTTAGAAGTCAACTGGAACTAGATAGGAGGTCCTCCACACAAGACGGAGCTTCCTTGCCTAAGTTCTCGAGATGTTTCAGCTGCAGAAATCGGTTCCTAGTTCCTACGAGGAGAAGAGTAGAGAGTTTGAGTTGAATCAAGGGTTCTCCAAGGCGTGACTTTTGAAAATGTGCCGGCTTGGGAAGGCACAATGAATTGTTTTTATGGCCCTGGCAGGAAATCAGATTTCCCACCTCCAGATCTTCTGGAGATTAGCTCTCAGTTGTTTCACTCCTGCTGGGAAGCGCCTTGCAGCCTGCGGGACCACCAGCGGTACATCGAAAAGCTGTGATCCCTTGCAGATGTTTGGGGGCTGCTGGTTGCGAACCCGAGTGTTTCAGACGCCATATGCCACGTGGGGAGCACCTAGTTGGGAAGAGTCTGTACAACGTGAATGAGATAGGTAGATATTAGAACCATCCTCAAGAGAATAACAAATGGGAAGGGACCTTGGAGGTCTTCTAGTCCAACCCCCTGCTCAAGCAGGAGACCCTATACTGTTCAGGACAAACGGTTGTCCAATCTCTTCTTAAAAACCTCCAGTGATGGAGCACCCACAACGTCTGGTGGCAAGCTGTTCCACTGGTTAATTGTTCCCACTGTCAGGAAATTCCTCCTTAGTTCTAGGTTGCTTCTCTCCTTGATCAGTTTCCATCCGTTGCTTCTTGTCCTGCCTTCAGGGGCTTTGGAGAATAGCTTGACTCCCTCTTCTTTGGGGCAGCCCCTGAGATACTGGAACACTGCTATCCTGTCCCCCCTCGTCCTTCTTTTCATTAAACTAGACACACCCAATTCTTGCAAATGTTGGGCATGGCTAGTTCAGTTCACTAGTAGAATTTGGGCCCCCCGAAGATGGTGATGGCTTACAGCAAGGTTTACCAACCTCGGCGACTTTAAGATGGGTGGACTTCAACTCCCAGAATTCCCCAGCCAGCCATGCATGGCTTTTTTTTTTCCTCCTACCCTCTAGAGCAGAGAGATTGCAGAGGAAGGGATTACAAGAGACTAAGCATGCCACAATGGGTATACGTATCAAAAGGAATGCATTAGTGCCAGGGAATTCTGGGAGTTGAAGTCTTCAAGTTACCGAGGTTGAAAAACGATGACCTAACCCATATTTGGCGCACGGGGAATTCTGGGAATAATCTTTGAAACTGAATGTACAAGGACAGTTGGTAAGGATGGATGTATTGAGAGAGGTGTGTGATTTGGTGGCGGCAGGAAACGTAGCAAGGCCAGCCCTTAAATAAAATTTGATGTAACCACAATTCAAATTACATAAAATTCATTGCGTGCAATTAATACCATCGCTCACTCCCCTCATCGTTAATATGGTTGGGTAACAAATTTTGGGGTGGTCCTGGGAGGCAGATCAGCCATTTTTAGGGGTCCTGCCCCCCCCCTCATGCCCGAGAGAAAATGGGCATTGCCAAGATTACCCCTCCCCCCCAAGTCTAATGGGATGAAGGAAAACCTTGTTCCCCTGACATGGCTTAGCTGAACGGGGAACATAGAGCTGAAAGGGACCTCAGAGGTCATCTAGCCCAACCCCGAGCTGCTCAAGGCAGGAGACCTTAAGCGGCAGGGAGACAGGGATAGAAAGTTCATTTCAAGTGCAATCGGCCACTGGAATTAGCTGGGCTATGCACATCTGGAGGAAAGGATGAACTGACTACCAGAAGAGAGAGATCAACTCCTAGAATGGCCCTCAAATGGAGCCGCTCTAGGACTTTGGAGGTGCACCTTGTTTTTACGTTTCTTTTCATTGATGGAGCTTTGAGAGCTGGTAACTTTCTGTCCGGTTGATGTTGGCCTCAATTAAGCCATCATTGATCGCCGTGGGTGAACGTAGAACAGGCTGGCTGGGGAATTCTGGGGGTTGGAGGCCATACAAGGAAGGAAGGAAGGAAGGAAGGAAGGAAGGAAAGAAAGAAAGAAAGAAAGAAAGAAAGAAAGAAAGAAAGAAAGAAAGAGGGAGAGAGAGGAAGGGAGGGAGGGAGGGAGAGTGGGAGGGAGCATGAAGAAGAAAGGATGGGATGGAGGAAGGAAAGAAGAGAAGGAGGGAAGGAAGAAGGATGAAGAGGGAGGGAGAATGGAAGAAAAAGGATGGATGGATAGATGGATGGAAAGGAGGGAGGAAAGAAGGAAAGAAAGAAAGAAAGAAAGAAAGAAAGAAAGAAAGAAAGAAAGAAAGAAAGAAAGAAAGAAAGAAAAAGAAAGAAGGGGTAGAGTGGGAGGGAGCATGAAGAAAGGATGGGATGGAGGAAGGAAAGAAGAGGGAAGGAAGAAGGATGAAGAGGGAGGGAGAATGGAAGAAAAAGGATGGATGGATGGATGGAAAGGAGGGAGGAAGGAAGGAAAGAGAAAGAAAAAGAAAGAAAGGAAAGAAAAGAAAGAAAGGGGTAGAGTGGGAGGGAGCATGAAGAAGAAAGGATGGGATGGAGGAAGGAAGGAAAGAAGAGAAGGAGGGAAGGAAGAAGGATGAAGAAGGGGAGAGGGAGGGAGGGAAGGAGGAGGAAGGGAGAATGGAAGAAAAAGGATGGATGGATGGATGGATAGGAAGGAAGAAAGGGAGAGACGAAGGGAGGGAGAGTGGGAGGGAGAATGAAGAAGAAAGGATGGGATGGAGGAAGGAAAGAAGGGAAGGAAGAAGGATGAAGAAGGGGAGAGAGGGAGGGAAGGAGGAGGAAGGGAGAATGGAAGAAAAAGGATGGATGGATGGATAGGAAGGAGGAAGGAAGAAAGAAAGAAAGAAAGAAGAGGGAGAGACGAAGGGAGGGAGAGTGGGAGGGAGCATGAAGAAGAAAGGATGGGATGGAGGAAGGAAAGAAGAAGAGAAGGAGGGGAAGGATGAAGAGGGGGAGAGAGAGGGAGGGAGGGAAGGAGAGGGGGAGGGAGGGAGAACGGAAGAAAAAGGAAGGAAGGATGGATGGATGGATGGGAAGGAGGGAAGGAGGGAGGAAAGAAGGAAGAGTAGCCAGGCTCTGCCCTGAGACAGGAGGGCTGCTGGCCCAGCTGTGCAGACCCCCCCCTCCCGTCAGGATGCCCAGAGGTTGCCAAGGCTGCCCTCCTGCAGATGCAAGGGGGGGTGTACCTTTTCTTAGCCCCCCCTCCCCGCTCCTTCCCCCCCTCAGGAAAGGAAGAGGAGGGGCCGAGTGGAAACTGCTAATTAAGACCTCCGTGCGCCTAATTAACGCTCTCCCCTTGCACTGAATTAATTAGGCTCCGGGTTGCCATGGAAATGGGTGGAAATGGGATGTGACCTAGAAACAGAAGCAGGGGTTTCTGGAGGGGGGGGTTGTCATTTGATGGGTAGCTTTTTCCCCCCTCCCCTCCCAAAGTGGAATTAAGAGTTGCAGATTGCAAAGGGGTTGCAATCTGCCAGACCCCGGGAACCGATTTCCGGAATCGGGAAGCAAAACCAAACATCTCCAGAAGATGCTGAGAAGTTTGCAGCCTTGGTTTTAGTGGACCCTCCAGCCTCTCATGTCCCCCCCCTCCCCAGCAACGCCCACCTGGCCCAGGACCACCAGCTCATCTGGCTTTTGGCCTCCCTGCCCTATTGGCCCTCTTCCTCCTCCTCCTCACCTCAAGTTAGGTTGCTCCCCAGAACCACCTGGTGGACATCCAGATCTTCTGGACTCATGAATGGTCCAGTTCGTGATCTCTCCTCCCGTTTTCCTTCCGCTCTGGCCCTTCCTGAGCCTCCTGCCACCCCCAGCCTCTCCTCTGCTGGGTTGACCACCTTGGCCTCTTCAAGTAGTCCTTGGGTCTTCTCAGCCGTAGCTTCTCCTCCATGCTTCGTTGGGTTGAGGGTCCCTTGGGTGGTCTCTGAGCTGGCTGGTTCTCTTGCAGACATTCCACTACCCAAACTAGGTAACGTCATCGTCGCTAGTCAATTCTGCTTTCTTGGTTGGTTGGGCTCCTGGCTGCAACCCAACCGTGGTTACTTGAAGACAACCAGGTCCTTCCTTTGATGGGTAGGGCGCCCCCAATCCTGTGGCCTGGGGTTCTTCTGCTTTTAGGACCTCCCCCCTCCTTGCGATGGAGGCTTCCTGGGTCCAAAGACTGGAGGGACCACAGCAGGTGCTTGAGTCTTCAGAAGACCAGACTCAAGGGGTCCTTGAGTCTTCAGAAATCAAGATGGCCTCCTGAGGGCCCTCCGACGTGGCGGCTGTAGGCATCTCCTGATCGGGATGGGGTCAACGGGTGGACTGCTGTATCCTGGTTTCCTCTGCCTCATGCTGGCTTCCTTTCTCGCCCCACAGATATCCGAGACAGTGGGAAAAAACCCGTGATGCTTTTCATCCATGGCGGATCGTACATGGAAGGCACCGGAAACATGTTTGATGGCAGTGTGCTGGCCGCCTATGGAAATGTGATTGTTGTCACCCTCAACTACCGGCTCGGCGTGCTGGGTATGGGGGAGAGGGGTCCCAGGCTCTGCCTTGGGGAGGGGTGGGGGGATGACCCCAGAGGTCAAGAATTTGCCCAGAACTCCATCCGTGGGGGGAAGTCAGACCCTTTTCTTTCCCCATAAATCAGGGGTCCCCAAACTTAGCAATTTTAAGACTGGTGGACTTCAATTCCCAGAATTCCCCAGCCAGCAAACTGGGCCCCTTTAAGGCAATGCTGACTGAGGAATTCTGGGAGTTGAAGTCCACAAGTCTTAAAGGGGTGGGGTTTGGAGATGCCTGGTCTAATTCAACTGCTTCTTGGGTCAAACGCCCACACAGGTAGAAACAGACCTGTCAGATAGACCCCTTTTCTTTCCCATAAACCAGGGGTCTCCAAAGATGGCAACTTTTAAGACTTCTGGACTTCAACTCCCAGAATTCCCCAGTCAGCATGAAGAAATGTGGCTATCTTTTTTTGATGGGTTAATTCTTTTAATATACCTTGATTTCAGCAAACGAAAATAAAACAACTCATGAGAAACTAAATTAATAAACAGGTTAAACGTGGACTAGATGGATGACAATTCTGTGGGAAACTGATATGCTGGCTTGGGAATTCTGGGAGTTGAAGTCCACCTGTCTTAAAGGGGCCCAGTTTGCTGGCTGGGGAATTCTGGGAATTGAAGTCCACCAGTCTTAAAATTGCGAAGTCTGGAGACCCCCCAAGGTGGAGAAACACAGACTTAGATTGTGGGATTTGAAGGATGGCTTTAAAAACTGTTGTTGTGGTGGCCCATTCCTAATTTGCAGTGTCGTTGTGCAATAAAACGCACAATCCTGATTTTCAATTGTTTTCCCACTGGTCCTCATTTGTGCAACAAAATCTCATTTTAATGTATACTGGTTAGTATACATTTAAAGTGACAATAAAGTTATCCTATCCTATCCTGTCTATCTTATCCTATCCTATCCTATTTATTCTATTCTATATTATATTATATTTTCTATTCTGTAATTCTATTCTGTTCTATTCTATTCCTATATTATATTATATTTTCTATTCTGTAATTCTGTTCTGTTCTGTTCTATTCTATTCCATTCTGTTCCATTCTATTCTATTCTATTCTATTCTATTCTATTCTATATTATGTTTTCTATTCTGTAATTCTATTCTATTCTATTCTCCTATATTTATTCTATTCTATTCTATTCTATATTATATTTTCTATTCTGTAATTCTATTCTATTCTATTCTATTCTATATTTGCCACTGTACACACACATTAAAAAAAACACAGAATGGCACGTTGTTAAAAATGTTGCATTTGCAGCCCTTCGCTCTGGATGATGGGCCGTGTAGTACAGCAAGCAGTTGTGCAGCTACGAAGGGCGGAGGATTCCTGATTTTTGAGGCTGATGATTAAAGCCAGCCGCGGACACCGCATCGGCACGGGGTGTGGCTCCGCTCCTCCCCCCCCTCCCCTTTCCCCTCCCCCTCTGGGTGTGAAATTTACCCAGGCAACAGCAGAAATTAATATTTCATTAAAAAGTGTTGAATAATGAATGGCCGGGCCTCGTTATCTCCAGCAAAAGAGCCCCGGGATGGAGGGATGATGAATTTTGAAGGAGATGGGTCCTAAGTTGGTGCAAATGTTTAGCCCAGGCAAAAAAAAGAGAAGAGAAGATATAAAAAGATGCTTTCCGATCGATCGCGTGCTTCGGCTTCTTTTTGGTTTAAAATAGACACAAAACCATTTCCGTGGCTGGAATTACTAGGCTGGGCTGCCTAATCGAAGCGCACGGGTGCAAAAGTGGAATAAGGCCTCCGAGAAAGCAGAAGGGTTGAGAAAAATCAAGAGAAAAAAATTTCTGGGCTTTGGTTTTGATAAGTCAGGAGTCTCCAACCTTCGCCACTTTGTGGACTTCAACTCCCAGAATCCCCCAGCCAGCTACGACAATTAAACGGGAAACAGGTACGCTGGCTGGGGAATTCTGGGATTTGAAGTCCACAAGTCTTAACATGGCGAAGGTGCTCTAAGTCAGTGTTTCTCAACCATGGCCCCTTTAAGACGGGGAGGGGACTTCAACTCCCAGAATTCCTCAGCTAGCATATCACTTTGTCACAGAATTGTCATGCCATCTAGCCCACCTTTAACTCTTTTATTAATTTAGCTTACCATGGGTTTATTTTTTCACATTGCTGAAATCAAGGTATATTACGTCGACCACATTCCCACCATCTATTAAAAAAATTGCCAGTCAAAAAAATGTGATGTAGATAGTCGAGCAGCTAAGGTGATCAAAGGCCTGGAGACTAAAACATACGAAGAATGGCTGTGGGACTTGGGTTTGGCTAGTCTAAAGAAAAGAAGAAATAGGGGAGACATGATAGCTGTATTCCAGTATTTGAGGGGCTGCCACAAAGAAGAGGAGGGGGTCAAATTATTCTCCAAAGGACCAGAGGGCAGGACAAGAAACAATGGTTGGAAACTGACCAAAGAGAGAAGCAACCTGGAATTAAGGAGAAACTTCCTGACAGGGAGGACAATTAACCAGTGGAACAGCTTGCCACCAGATTTTGTGGGCGCTCCATCACTGGATATTTTTAAGAAGAGACTAGACATATTCTATTCTGTTCTGTTCTATTCTATTCTATTCTATTCTATTCTATTCTATTCTATATTTTCCATTCCATCCTATCCTATCCTATCCTATCCTATCCTATCCTATCCTATCCTATCCTATCCTATCCTATCCTATATGTTATTCTATTCTATATGTTATTCTATTCTGTAATTCTATTCTATTCTATTCTATTCTATTCAATCTATTCTATTCTATTCTATTCTATGTTCTGTTCTGTTCTGTTCTGTTCTATTCCATTCCATTCCATTCCATACTAGCTGGTTGGGGAATTCTGGGAGTCGAAGTCCACTCGACTTTAAAGGAGCCAGGGTTAAAAAATCACTGCTATGAACCCAGAGGAAGATGGACCCATATTAACAGATGCTCTGGGTGGGGGGGTGGCAACCTACCACCACGGTTCTCGTTCCCCGTGTCTGATTCCGTTCCCTTTCTCCTCTTAACGGCAGGCTTCATGAGCACCGGCGACCAGTCGGGCAAGGGGAACTACGGCCTCCTGGACCAGATTCAGGCCTTGAGGTGGCTGAACGAGAACATCGGTCACTTTGGGGGGGATCCGGAGCGCATCACCATCTTCGGCTCCGGAGCCGGGGCCTCTTGCGTCAACCTGCTCATCCTCTCTCACCACTCGGAAGGTAATTCTGCGTCCGCCGGGGATTATGGTTACGGTAGTGGTGGCGGTGGTGATATTGTCCTGGTAGTAGTGTCAGGGGCAAAAAAAAATCAGGAACCAAAGGAGTCTTTAACTTACGACCGCAATTTGAGTCCAGAATTTCCCTTGCTAAGCCAGACGACTAAGAAGTGATTTTTTCCCCCGTTTTACAACCTTCCTTACTACGGTCGTTAGCTGAATCCGGTTTTCCCATTGACTTTGCTTGTCCAAGGGCTCACGTGACCCCAGGAGACAGAAAAGGTCATAAATAGGAGTCAGTCGACTAATAGGAGTTAGTTGTGTGATTGTGGGATGCTGTAACGGGTTGTAGGTGTGAATAACCTTCAAAGGGTCACTTTTTTCGGTGTCATTGTAACTTCAAACGGTCACTGAATGAACTGTTGTAAATATAATAGAATATAGAATATAGAATATAGAATGGAATACAAAATAGAATAGAATAGAATAGAAAATAGAACAGAACAGAACAGAATAGAATAGAATAGAATAGAATAGAATAGAAAATAGACTAGAATAGAATAGAATAGAATAGAATAGAATAGAAAATAGACTAGACTAGAATAGTAGAATAGAATATAAAATAGAATAAAATAGAATATAAAATAGAATAGAATAGAAGGAATGGAAGAACAGAACAGAACAGAACAGAACAGAACAGAATAGAATAGAATAGAATAGAATAGAATAGAATAGAATAGAATAGAATCTAGACTAGAATAGAATAGAATAGAATAGAATAGAGAATAGAATAGAGAATAGAATAGAATGAATGGAAGAACAGAATAGACTAGAATAAAAAATACAATAGAAAATAGAATAGAAAATAGAATAGAATAGAAAATAGACTAGAACAGAACAGAACAGAACAGAACAGAACAGAACAGAACAGAATAGAATAGAATAGAATAGAATAGAATAGAATAGAATAGAATAGAATAGAATAGAGGGTCGCACGTGCTCAGGCCTTGTGCAAGTGTTGTGGGCACTTGCGGCCCCACACATGGGTGTTGTGGGCGCTGGGGGCCTCACTCGTGCGAGCCTCGTGGGTGCTTTCAGCCCTACTCATGTGAGCAACGGGTGCTCCTGTGTGCATATGCGCACCTGCCCTCCCACAAAACCATTCCCTCTTTCCCCCCTCCCTCCCTTCCGGGCCGCCAACCCGAAAAGGTTGGGGAACTCTGATCGAGCCCACCTTTAACCTTACCCAACTAGGTAACAACATCACTGCTACAAGGGCTGTGGTGCCGCCGTAGTTAGAATGCAGGATTGCAGGCTAACTCTGCATTCCACTGCCAAAAGTTCGATCCTGACCAGCTCAAGGTTGACTCAGCCTTCCATCCTTCCGAGGTCAGTAAAACGAGGACCCAAATTGTCGTGGGGCAATATGCCAACTCTGTAAACTGCTTAGACCTGTAAAGCACTGTGAAGCGGTATATAAATCTAAGTGCAATTGCTATTTCTATTCTGTGTTCTAATCTTAGCGCTGGCAACCGTTGTCTGTTTTGGTCCCATCACTTGGTTGCTGACCTCTCTTCTCCTTCCCCACCCCTAGGTTTATTCCAAAAAGCCATTGCTCAGAGTGGCACCGCCATCTCCAGTTGGTCTGTCAACTATCAGCCGCTCAAATACACCAGGATGTTGGCCTCCAAAGTTGGCTGCGATCACATGGACACCAGCAGTACCGTGGAATGTCTACGGCGCAAGCCTTACCGGGAGCTGGTGGACCAGGACATCCAGCCGGCGCGCTACCACATTGCTTTCGGCCCCGTGGTGGATGGCGACGTGGTCCCCGACGATCCGGAGATCTTGATGCAGCAAGGCGAGTTCCTCAACTACGACATCCTCATCGGCGTCAACCAGGGAGAGGGCTTGAAGTTTGTGGAGGATTCCATGGAGAACGAAGACGGCATCTCGGCCAGCTACTTCGACTTCACCATCTCCAACTTTGTGGACAACCTCTACGGCTACCCGGAAGGGAAAGATATCTTACGGGAGACCATCAAGTTCATGTACACCGACTGGGCGGATCGAGACAACGGCGAGATGCGTCGGAAAACTCTTCTGGCTCTCTTCACGGACCACCAGTGGGTCGCGCCAGCCGTGGCCACTGCTAAGCTCCACGCCGAGTATCAGTCGCCTGTCTACTTCTACACGTTTTACCATCACTGCCAGACAGATACTCGTCCTGAGTGGGCGGATGCGGCCCACGGGGACGAGATCCCCTACGTCTTCGGTGTTCCCATGATTGGGGCCACGGACCTCTTCCCTTGCAACTTTTCCAAGAACGATGTCATGCTGAGCGCCGTGGTCATGACCTACTGGACCAATTTTGCCAAGACAGGGTGAGATTTGTAATGGTGATGTGGATGGAGGACGATAAATCAGTGGTTGTACCAATCGTAGTAGGAGCGCTTGGAGCAATACCCAAAGGGTGGCCTTGAACAGAGGTCCCCAATCTTTCTAGGGTGGCAGCCTGGAGAGAAAGGAAGGGGGAGGCATGGGGCTGCGTGCGTGCAATGCAAACGGAGGCGGTGCGAGTGTGTGCAAGATGCTAGGGGTGGAGCTACTGCCCATGTGACATTGGGAGTGGGACTAGCGCACTGCTGGCGAACCTTTTAGAGACCGAGTGCCCAAAAACCAGCCCCTTCCCATCCCACCTGCTCCTCCCCTCCCCACCCCTCCCACCCCCGCTCTGCCCCCCCTCGCCCCACCCACCTGCAGGGCCACTCACCGCCTCCACAGCCCACAGCAGATCGCCCAAGCTGCCCAGCAGCGCCATGGCGGCTATGCCCTCCATCCCGCACCCTGCAGCATCAACTGCGCGTGATGGGTGCGAGGGTGGAGTTTTCTCCCCGCTGCCCGGCTGCCATGTCCTTGGCTGCACTGCTCCGCGACTCTCCTCCAGGGGGGCTGCTGGTGAGGCAGAAGGGGAGGCGGGGCTGGGACGACGGCGTGCATGCCCACAGAGAGGTTTGCCACCACTGGACTAGCGTCTGTGCAAAGCTGAGCGTGGCGTGAGTGCCTGCGCAAAGCTGGGGCAGTATGAGCACCTACGCAACACTGGGACCGGGCCTAGTGTCTACGCAAAGCTGGGGGTGGGCCAAGCGCCCATGTGACATTGGGGTGGGACTAGTGCTCATGTGATGCTGGGGGCGGGGCTAACACCCACACGAAACTAGGTGGCATGAGCGCCCGCGTGACACTGGAAGTGGACCTATCGCCTGCACGACGCTCAGGATAGCCTAGCACCTGTGCAGTGCTCAGGGCAGTGCTAGCATGAGGGGGAGTGCGCACACACTGGCCAGCCCCTCACCAGCCCGGTGGTCAAGAGGCCGTGGCCCGGTAGTGGGCCGCGGCCCACAGATTGGAGACCCCTGGCCTAGACCTAACTATTTTGACTTTCCAAAAAACCACCCTACTCAGAACTGCCTATGTACTTGGACATTACCTTAACAACTCTTAGGTCCTTGGTTAGGAGTTGAACTGTTTAAAGTTTTTACTAGACCCAGACTGTGAGTTGAAATGAAGGTTAAATCTTAAGTAAGAACAGTAACATCCTCAAGTCAAGGGCGAGGGAAGGAGTGGATGAGGGGCAATGAGTAAGCTTTGAGGTGGAGAAGCCATTTAGCTGGCCAGCATCTAGATGCAAAAGATACAGGCAGTCCTCGACTTACAACATTTCGTTCAGTGACCGGTCAAAGTTACAGTGGCACTGAAAAAAGCGACCCAGTGTTCACACTTACTACCGTTGCAGCCTCCCCACGGTCACGTGATCAAAATTCAAACCCTTGGCACATATTTACGGCGGTCGCAGCGTCCCCGGAGTCACGCCACCCTGTTTTGCGACCTTCCAACAAGCCAAGTCCACGGGGAAGCCGGATTCACTTAACAACCGTGCCACTGGCTTAACGACGGCAGTGGTTCGCTTAGCGACTGTTGTAAAACGGGGCCAAATTCACTTAACAGCCGTGTCACTTAGCCACAGAAATGTTGGGCTGAGTTGTATCTGTAGAGGTTTGATAACGTACATGCGTGAGATGGTCTTCCGTCAGTCAGAAGAAGGGATGGGAGAAGGACGGAGAATATTCTCTTTCTTGGAAGGCTTGGAAGAAGCTTGGTTAGAAGGGTGGACCTCTGGTTTGAGGGCCAGCAGAGGCACATAAGATTTGGTGTCCTGGGAGCAGAAAGAGGTATCTCCACCCCACACAAACTGGAGCTGCAGAGAAGGAACCCTCTGGAATGCCTAGTGTGGCGGAAGGGATGGAGGTCGTGGCCGACATTAAGCCAAGATCGAGATCCTGGTCAGTCCTAGTAGGATCAGGAGGCCAGCCAGAGCCAAGCAGAGTTAGTGAATTACCTTGCCAATAAAAGAGAATATTTGTATCTCAGAGTGGAAATGTAGGGTCCTTGGTGGTCCCTGAGCTGGGTGGTTTTCTTGCAGACGTTTCATCACCCATCTAGGCAACATCATCAGTCTTAGAAGGGAGTGATGTTTGTGGAGAGGAGGAGGAAAAGGAGGAGGAGGGCTGTGGGGTCCTTGGTGGTCTCTGAGCTTGGTGGTTTTCTTGCAGTCATTTCATTACACAAGTAGGTAACATCATCAGTGCTAGAAGGTGCAATCCTCTTCTAGCACTGATGATGTTACCTGGTCAGGTCACGAAACGTCTGCAGGAAAACAACCAAGTCAAGATATATTAAGTTTACCGCATTCCCACCATCTATTAAGAAAGTTACCCAATCAAAAAAAATGCGACAAATGTAATCCAACCGCATTTCTTCTTGTCCTACCCAGGCTGAATTCTGATAAAACTCTTGCTGGCTGGGGAATTCTGGGAGTTGAAGTCCAGAGACTTAAAGCTGGCATATTTGGAGACCCCTGGCTTAAAGAAATAAGTGGGTGAGGATTGGCAACCTCCAGAAAGAAAAGCAGAATTCCTGACCCCCTCCCCTCTAATTTCAAGGCAATGCCCACCTCCAAGCTTATACCGCTCTGCCAAAACAGGGCAGCCATCCTAGTTGTTGGGGCGGGGGGAAACCCAGAAGCTGTGACATGTCTGTATGGAGGCTGGCAGAAGAAATTTGGTTCATTTGCCCCATGCCCTTCTCCTAGTGCCCGCCAGGTATATCCTCAACCCCAGCTCCCATCATCCTCAGCCAGCGGAGACCAAGGCTCAAATCAGAACTATTGAGATGAGCCCAGAGATGTATTTATGCAGTCTGCGTCGTGTGTGAACAGGTATCCCGGACCAGAGATGGGCAGCTTGTAGATTGCGTTGGGATACCGACGCTGGATCTCTCGTGGGTCTTGAGGATGCAGTGTGAAAACTGGCATTTGGGAAGACTTTTCGTTGGCAAACAAAACAGGAGCATTGATTTCACAAGGTCTAATTTAGTGTTTCTGAAATGCGGCCGCTTTTAAGATGAATGGACCGAAGTCCGTGAACAGCTTCTGGACATTTTTCAGCTCCTAACATTCGTCTTTTCCCCGTTAGAAAGATAACCCTTCCCAGCTACACGTTCCACAAACTGTGTCTGCTTCCCAGAATCCCTCAACATGTCAGAAAATTGGCCACATCCGTGTTTGGTGGACAGTGCCACGGTTTGCAGGCCTGAGAGAAGAGTTGTAGGATCAGACGTAGGGATGGGAGCCTTCCGTGAGGTTTGCTCGATCCGGGATAGCTATCTCTGGTGGGTCAGCCGCTTTTAATAACAGAATAACAAAGTGGGAAGGGACCTCGGCGGTCACCTAGTCCAGGGCTTTTCAACCAGTGGTACGGGTACCACCTGTGGTACATGGGCACCTGGCAGGTGGTACGCGGCCATCCTAGAAAAGTGGTAGCAGGGGAGGGGAATGAGCTGAACCGGTGGCAGCACCGCACAAGCCTGAGTGAGAGACGGCTGGAGCTGCAGGGCTGTCAGGGCTCAGCGGAAGCGCCAGGATCAGTGTCGCTTTTCAGCTGATCAGTGCTTCGGGGCTGTCAGGGCTCAGCGGAAGCGCCAGGATCAGCGCCAGGATCAGTGCCAGGCTCCAGCTGGAGCTCGGCGCTGATCCTGGAGCTTCTGCTGAGCCCAGAAGAAGCGCCGATCAGCTGGAATGTTGCAGCCTCTCCAGGGTCTTGTGATTTACATTCAGATGCTTGGCAACTGATTCATATTTATGACAGCCACAGTGTCCCAGGGTCATGTGAAGTGACCAAAACCTGCTGCAACCACCCGGCAGACGGGGGGAATAAAAACCAAACACCCCCCACCCCACCCCCGCTGCCAATCCTCAACAGAAATGCTCACAACAATGGAAACCTCGGACAGGAGGAAGAGCGCCACCGGGTGGGCAGGCAGGTGTCTTGCTCGGCTGTGGCTTGGGGGGGGCACTTTTTTCAGTGCCGTTGTAACTTCAAGCAGTCATTAAGCGAACTGTTGTAAGTCGAGGACTACCTGTACTTCATCACTTTTTTCCTTTTTTGGGGAGGTCATCAAGTTTTTGACACCTTGCTAGATGACTGGTGGTACTCGGATATTGCCATATCCTAAAAGTGGTACAATGGGTGAAAAGGTTGAAAAGCCCTGACCTAGTCCAGAGGTCCCCAACCTTTTGGGCACCAGGGACCGGTTCCGTGGAGAGAGGTTTTCCCGCGGACTGAAGGGTGCTTGGTTTTGTGTGCTGCTTGCATCCCACGGATGGGGCTTTGCTTGTTTGTGCGGCCCGGTTGCTGGCATGCTGCGGCCCGGTACCGGTCCACAGACCAGGGATTGGGGACCCCTGCAGTAGGGGCTCCCCTTGGAACAGAGATGCGACCTGCTTTGGGGGCACAAAAGATAACAGGGTAGGAAGGATCGGTGAGTCAGGATTCCTCAGCACCCACGGATCTTATAGTGATCCGTAAAAGACCTGGGGCAAGTGGGGTTGAGAGCACAATCTGGAGACTGAGAGCATGTGAGGAGTACAAGCAGAGAACGGCTGCCCAGGGGAACACATCCAGCCACAAAGATTCTACTCCAGAGGTCCCCAACCTTTTGGGCACCAGGGACTGGTTCCGTGGAGAGAGGTTTACCCGCAGACCGGAGGGTGCGTGGTTTTGTGTGCTGCCTGCATCCCACGGATGGGGCTTTGCTTGTTTGCACGGACCGGTTGCTGGCATGCCGCAGCCCGGTACCGGTCCACAGACTGGGGGTTGGGGTCCCCTGTTCTAGTCCAACCCCCTGCTCAAGCAGGAAACGCTACACCAGTGATGGCGAACCTTTTGGAGACCCAGTGCCCAAACTGCAACCCAAAACCTACTTATTTATCACCGGGTGCCGGGTGGGCGTGGCCGTGGTGGTCACAGCAGACTGGGTGGGTGGGGCCAGGGCAGCGGGGGCCAGTCCCTCGCCATCTCCGGGGCACGGCACGCGTGCCCACAGAGAGGGTTCTGAGTGCCGCCTCTGGTACGCGTGCCATAGGTTCGCCACCACTGCGCTGCACCCTTCTGGACAAATGGCTGTCCAGTTTCTTCTTAAAAACCTCCAGTGTTTTTAACCCACAACTTTTGGAGGCAGGTTGTGCCAACTGGTTAATTGTTCTCACTGCCAGGAAGTTTCTCCTTAGTTCTAGGTTGCTTCTCTCCTGGATTAGTTTCCATCCTTCTGGTGCGTTGGAGAATAGGTGGACACCCCCCCTTCTTCATGGCAGCCTTCAAATATTGGAAGACTGCTATCATGTCCCCCCTAATCCTTCTCTTTGTTAGACTAACAGAATAGCAGAATTGGGAGGGACCTTGGAGGTCTTCCAGTCCAACCCCTTGTTCAAGTAGGAGACCCTATACCGTTTCAGACAAATATGTAATCAGAATAGAGCTGGAATGGACCTTGGAGGTCTTCTAGTCCAGCCCCCTACTCAGGCAGGAGACCCTGTACTATTCCAGACAGGTGGATGTCCAGTCTCTTCTTAAAAGCCTCCAGTGATGGAGTACCCACAACTTCTGTTCACAAGGTGTTCCACTGGTTAATTGTCCTCACTGTTAGGAAGTGTCTCCTTAGTTCTGTGTTGCTTCTCTCCTCAATTAGTTTCCACCCATTGCTTTCTTTCTCCCCCTCCCCACAGGGACCCCAACCAGCCTGTGCCACAGGACACCAAGTTCATCCACACGAAGCCCAACCGTTTCGAGGAGGTGGTGTGGACCAAATTCAACACCAAGGACAAGCAGTACCTGCACATCGGCCTGAAGCCCCGCGTGCGGGACAACTACCGCGCCAACAAGGTGGCTTTCTGGCTGGAACTGGTGCCCCACCTCCACAACCTCCACGAGCCCCCCTACACCTCCACCACCACCCGGGTGCCCCCCTACGTCACCCGCTGGCCCAGCACTCGGGTGGGGCCAAGCACAACGCGCCAGCCCATCGCCACCCTTCCTCCGGACGAAGACGACGTCGCCCGTCCGCCGCGGTACGTGCCGTTCCCAGGAGACTCGCGGGACTACTCCACCGAGCTCAGCGTGACGGTGGCGGTGGGCGCCTCCCTGCTCTTCCTGAACATCCTGGCGTTTGCCGCCCTGTACTATAAGCGGGACAGGCGCCATGAGCTGCGGAGCGGGCGGCGGCTCAGCCCTCAGCGCAGCGCGGCCAACGACCTGGTGCACAGCGGCCACGAGGAGGAGATTATGTCGCTGCAGATCAAACATTTGGAGCACGACGCGCACGATCTGGAGCCCTTACGACCGCATGAAATCCTACGCCCCGCCTGCCCTCCCGACTACACCCTGGCACTTCGCCGGGCACCAGACGATGTGCCCCTGATGACCCCGAACACCATTACCATGATCCCCAGCACCATTACGGGTATGCAAGCCTTGCACCCTTTCAATACCTTCCCCACCGGACACAACAACACCCTCCCTCACCCTCACTCCACCACCCGTGTATAGTTGTCCTCGGTGCCCAAAGCCCCCCCCGGTGGGAGGGGGGAGTCTCTTGCCAAGCTGCCCCCAGGGGGAGGCCCTCTTCCTGCCCCGTGGCCCGTACAGGCCTTTTATATCACACTGTGGGGGGAACGGCAACAGAGGGGGCAGCCCGGTGGGGTCGGCAGCCCCTTCGCCCAGATCCGGTGGCGCTTCGGCGCGTCCACCGTCCTCCTAGATGTGGCACGGTAACGGAAGCTCACCCCGCGTGGGCAGCTGCCATCCTTCCAAGGAGTCACGGCGTGGAATTAGGAGGGGGGAAGAACGGCGTCCTTCCACTCGCGTGTAGAGAAATGGGAACGTGGTTGTGCATTTGGAGGCTATTTGGGGGCTCAGATTGCTGGGGAGTCCGAGAGAGAGAGAGAGAGAGAGAAAGGGGGGGGGGTTGGAGAGGGCCTCCCCCCTTCAAAATCAGGGAAATGCCACGGTTAGGCTTTGCAAGGTGTTTCAGGGGTTGGAGAAGCCAGCTTTAAACATGGTTATTGAAGTGTGGAAGGAAGGAAGGAAGGAAGGAAGGAAGGAAGGAAGGAAGGAAGGAAGGAAGGACCTGCCCACATTTCTATGGCCATCTTCACCCTCTCCTTGATCTACACATTCAGCACCAGATCCCCCCAGAGGGCACCGGTTGCTCTCCTCCATCCGGCTAGGTGGATCAGCCAAAGTTTCGGGAGAGTTTAGATCAGGGGTGCCCACCACCCTTTGCGGCTTTGCAGACCGGTGGAGGGGGGAGGACAGGGGAAGGGAAACGGCAGGCGCTCGCACAGATGGAGCGTCACGAGTGCGCAAGAGTGCCTGCCACTTGCGCAAATGGAGCTGTGCGTGCCAGCACCCACGCCTGCCGCTTGCACGGCCCGCTTCCAGACGGGCCGCGGCCCAGTACGGGGCCGCGGTCCTGGGTTTGGGGACCCCGGTGTAGAGCATCAAGGGCAGGACCGGGCTCTTGGTCATCGGTGTTCTCGATGGGGGTTTTTTTGTGTGTGTGTCTTTCTCCACGAGGGTCCTGGGTACGGAACATCTGGGTTAGGCCATCTGGGAACAGACGCTCCGCCTTCCATCTGACGTGGGGTGGAGGGCCCTGGGACGAGGGGGCCACGGGTGGGGGGTCCCACTGAACGGGGAAGCAAAGTGGATCTGTCTCCTTCCTTCCGGAGCGGAGGGTCCCCCGGTTTGAAGAGGGAATTCTGTCTCTTTCTCACGTCCAGAAAAAGCCCCTTCTCGGCCGACCCCGGCAGCCTTTGCCCACCGGTCTCCAGGCACCACGAAGAGAAAGTCCCTCCCCCTCAACCTCTTAATGGACGACTGGACCACCACTTCCTTTCTGCACAGGAAGAAGTAGGGGAGGGGTTTGAGTGCTGGGTGTCTCCTTGTCTGTTCCTTCCTTCCCTCTCTTTCCTTCCTTCCGTCCTCCCTCCCTCTCTCCCTCCCTCTTTCTTTGTTCCTTCCTTCCTCCCCTCTTTTTTTCTTTCTTTCTTTGTCTCTCCTTCCTCCTTCCTTCCTCCTTCCTCCTTTTCTTCCTCCCTCCCTCTTTCTTTCTTTCCCTTCCTTCCTTTCTTTTTTCTTTCTTCTCTCTCTCTTTCCTTTCCTTCCTTCCTTCCTTCCTTTCTTTCTTTCTTTCCTTTCTTTTCTTTCTTTTTCTTTCTTATCTCTCTCTCTTCCTTCCTTCCTTCCTTTCTTTTTTTCTTTCTCTTTCTTTCTTCTCTCTCTCTTTCCCTTGCTTTCTTCCTTTCTTTTCTTTCTTTTCTCTCTTTCCCTTCCTTCCTTCCTTCTTTTCTTTCTTTTCTTTCTTTTTCTTTCTTATCTCTCTCTCTTCCTTCCTTCCTTTCTTTTTTCTTTCTTCTCTCTCTTTCCCTTGCTTTCTTCCTTTCTTTTCTTTCTTTTCTCTCTTTCCCTTCCTTTCTTTCTTTTCTTTCTTTTCTTTCTTTTCTCTCTTTTTCTTTCTTATCTCTCTCTCTTCCTTCCTTCCTTTCTTTTTTCTTTCTTTCTCTTTCTTCTCTCTCTTTCCCTTCCTTTCTTCCTTTCTTTTCTTTCTTTTCTCTCTCTTTCCCTTCCTTCCTTCCTTCCTTCCTTTCTTTTTTCTTTTCTTTCTTCTCTCTCTCTTTCCCTTCCTTCCTTCCTTCCTTTCTTTTCTTTCTTTTTTTTCTTCCCTCTCTCTCTCTCTCTTCCTTCCTTCCTGCCTTCCTTAACTCCTACCCTCCCATCCTCAGAACCCTGCCTGCACCACACAAGAATTTCCTGGGCTGATCCATTGATCTGGGGGAGGAGGGGGGGCTGAGTCCCAAACTATTGGGGTGGGGGGTTGGAAGAACCCTAGGGGGAGGCCTCGAGGTCTGGAGAAAGCCTGGCACGGGTTCCCCCACCTGTCCTCGCCGGGGGAAGCCGGC